ATACCAAATTTATCCAATTCCGACACCATTTGGTCCTTCAAATCTTCATTTTATATTTTTGAAAGATTCCACAATTTTCTTCCCAAATTCTATCTCAAATCACTAATTAAATGATGAATTCAATGGTATATTCATGTATTCTAACCAAATCTGAGTTAGAATCACTTACCCCGATGAATTTCTTCAAAAACCTTCGAAAAATCGGCAAAATCCGAGCTCTATATGTCAAAATATCAAATAAAAACCCAAAACCTCGTATTTATAGAGTACCCCTCGGATTCTGACAGTGGTGACCGCACAAAAATGACCGCGGTCCGTGTCCAGGGAGTGTTGACCGCACAAACATGGTCGCGGCCGCGCAGCAATTTGACTGCAGTGACAGGCTTCACTATTTTGGCCATGACTTTCTCTACCGATGTCCAAATGCCTATTATAATATCTTTCTGAAAACTAGATTCAAAGCTCTACAACTTTCCTTTTTGAATCACCTCAATATTCCGTGTTGATCAAAAGATATGAGCTTCCGAAATAGAACCAGCAGCCTGTAGATCTTCCCGGGCGCGGCTGCGCGCCCAGCGCGAAAAGGAGCGCGGTCCGCGTCTCCACTGTTGCCACCTCCATTTTTCTAAGTTCCGGGGGNCACTGCTGCCACCTCCATTTTTCTAAGTTTCGGGGTGTCCGTACTTGCTCAAAACTCACCCGAACACACCCGAGGCCCCCCCCGGACCTCAACCAAAAGCANCATTATGCAAACTTGTTCCAATCATCAAAACACCTCGACTAACACTAAAATCATCGAATTACATCAACTTCAAGCCTAAGTTCTTTTAGAAACTTCAAAACACACATTCGATCAAAAACCCGACCAAAATATGTCCGAATGACTTGAAATTTTGCACGCATATCCTAAATCATCTAACGAAGCTACAGCAACTTTCGGAATTCCGTTCCGACCCTTGGATCAAAATTTAACCTATCAACCGGAATTTGTCAAAATACTAACTTTCGGCATTTCTAGCCTAAATGAGCTACGAACTTCCAAAATATATTCCGAACACGCTCCCAACCCCGAAATCACCTAACGGAGCTAACGGAACCATCGGATTTCCATTCCGAGGCCATCTTCAGACTGTTCCAATTACGGACCATTTTTTTCAACACTTAAGCTCTTATTTAGGGACTAAGTGTCCCAAAACACTCCGAATCCCAACACCGAATGTCCCGGCAAAACAGAATAGCAGAAATGAACTTAGGGGAAGTAGTTAATGGGGAGACGGGGCATAAATTCCAAAGACGACCGGCTGGGTCGTCACACCAGGAATATGTAGGCAACCTCGGAAGCAGGGTGCGGTCAAATCTTTCAAAAATGCTTCCCATGGGGAATTCTAACGGGTAAAAATCGCTCGTATCCGCTCACTTTATCTTTGCACAAAACCTCTTTGTGTATTCGAGCAAAGAGGGGCAGCTGTGAGCACGTGATTTTTGCCCTATATGAATTACACCCACAAATTCAAAACAAAATAATTTCTTTCATTGTTTGCAATTTTGTGGATTTTTGTGGAATTTTTTATTGTTTGCATATTGTCTGTACATATTTACTTTATTTAATTAATGAAAAATACAAAAAAAATATGTGCATTTGCATTTAGGATTTAATTTAATATTTTATGATTAATTAATTAATTAGTTGTTTTATAAAAAAGGAAAATCATAAAAAAAAATTAACTTGCACTTTTACTTTTAATTTTGAATTTTGAGTAGTTTTCTTTTAATTTGTTTTCTTTAATTGAGGTAACTGTTATTCGGGTTTAATTAGTGTTTTTAATAGGTTAAGTATGTTTTAGGATTTAATTTAGATTTAGATTTAATCTTGAAAAAGGAAGAAAAAGAATTAACAGCAAAGAAAAAAAATTGGAAAAATGAAAAGTAAAGGAATAAAAATTTGGTCTGTGCCAAGTCATGTTCAAAGATTTTAAGCCCAGCTCGGTTCCCTTTTACCTGTTTAAAATCCAGCCCATTCCACCCAATACCCGGTCCAATTCCGCCTTATAACCAAACGATGTTGTTCGAGCTCGGCAGATCTGGGCCATTCATTTTGATGCATCAAATGGTCCAAAACATATCTCTTCAAACCCTTAATAATGTCCGAAACTTCAGAGAATATTCAGTCCACCCAAGCACCCCTGTATTGTTCTCATCTCTCTCATCTCTATCAGTCTTCAACCCTAGTATAGCCTTAGGAATTCCACCATTTTCACAAGCGATTGACCTCCCAGACACCACCAAAATTCAACCCCATACTCCCCATAATTCTTCAAGTCCTATGCTGGTGCAAATCTCTACAAAACCCCCCATCGAATCCAGTTAATTTTAGATCTAAAAAGAGAGAAGAAGAAAAGAGAATTTTCCCAGATTTTCAAGAATGATTTGGACTGAAACTAGTATTGTCCGTTCGTTCTCGAGGAGAGCATGCGGATAATACTACTTTTGGTCTAAATCAGAGACGTCGGAGGTCCATACAGGCTTGTTGGCCTTTTAGGTATTTCTCCTCTTTTGTTCTTGTTTCCATCCTTGGTGTCTTTCATCTCTTCGTTTATTTCTGATTCCTGTCTTTTCTTTCTAAATTCTATTTCAATTTATTTTGCTCGTATGTTAAGATTGGGGTCATAGTTCGACCATTGTTATTAGGCCATTTGTTGTCATTGTTTGATTTTGCTAAAATTTGTTTAATTTTGGTTTCATTGGACTCACAATATCAGGAGTTTATAACTCTCCCGGCCTGTTTGCTTTTGGGTTCGACTATTTCAAATTAGGGTGTGGGATCCGAAGGTCAGGAGCCCATAGAGGGGAGGGGAGGGGAGGGTTGTCCAGCTCATGGGTTAGGTGTGGGTTTGGGTTTAAGTCAACCCATGAGTTGAAAGGTAAATAACTGAGGCTTAATGGGTAAATTGGATATTGTAAATGGGGAATCTTTTGTAACAAGAAAGGAAAGCTTCTAGGAAGCTGGGGAAGGGGAATTGTCTGATAAAACTGAAATTGGACTAAGGTTGGTTGATCAAAAAGAAAAATTGACTGGGGGTTGATAAGCAAAAAAGAAAATTCAAAAGGGGCCTAAGAGCAAAATTGAGTCTCTAATAGGCTGCCCTAGTCCTTGCCTATAAAGGCATCTCTATCTTGCCTTTCAAGGAAGAGCTGAAGAGATAAGAATCTGAAAACATCAAAACGGCTAGATCTTTGAGGGGAAAAATACTATTCCATTGCATTCCCTTCACTGATTCCTGAAGTTTTCAATGTCTGAGGCAACTTGTAATTCATTTGGAGTTTTTTTTTTAAAAAAAGCATGGTTTGAATTAGAATTTGGGGCTAATTTTCTGGAATTTGAAAAGGATCTGTCATTTTGCTGGTTGTGGATTTCAAAAATGGACTAAAATTGTTGATTTTACTGGTTGTTTCTGCTGCCAAACTACTGCTGATACCACTCTCCTCTGCTGAAATTCTGTAGTTCTTTGGTTTGTATCTAGGTACACACTGTAAAAGCTCTATTGATTGTGAATGTGGATTGGAAGAAATGAAATGAAAAGAAGGAGGATTAAAGCATAGTGTTAACCTATTTATGTTTCAGTTATATTTCTCCTTAATGTTATGTTTCAGCAAATTTAGTTCTTGTCACTGTATATTAGCATGAGATTTCTAGGACTGTTGCAACAAAGGTTTGATTTGGTTGTTTGCGTATTCTGGACTTTGTTTAGTTTTGCTGAGGATTAATGTTGCTTCAGCTCTGTTTTCCTTTCGAATCTGTTAGAGGTTGAACCTTAGATTGTCATTTGTGTTGATTTAACCAAGTTGAGCTTTGTCTGCATGTCTAGTTTTGGCAAGTAGGTTTGGAGTTACATCTGTTGTATTGAGGGTAGATTCAAGTAAATTTGGAATGTGAGTCATGATTACCAAAGTACTTCTCTGATTTTGAGAAACATTGAATTCAGAATGTTAGCCTATTTTTTCTATGCCTGAATAGTTAAAAACTCAAAAGCAAATATATTAGGCTTAGTCTCAGGTCTCCTGTGGTATCACTGATAGCCATTACGTGTGGTGAAGCAATTGTTGGTTTGGAACGTTGAATCATAACGTTTGGCCTAGGCAATGAGAGCTTAACGCTGGGTCTGAGAGGGTGATACTACTCCTTTGAGTGTCCTCTCTTATGTTATACTTGGGCTCATTTTGGGCCCTGGTCTGAGAATATTCACAACAGAGATTTGGACTTGTTCCACCTTCATTGACTCATCTTCCGTTATTTATTGTGGGTCCAAGCCTCTTGTTTAAGTAATTAATTTTCTTATGTAAGCTTTCTGAGCTAACTCTTAATTGCATTTAGCATTCAGCAATGTTAATTAGTTAGAGTGCATCGTAAAGGACTGTTAAAATGAGAAATATGCAGCACTTTCATATTACCGTTTGATCGTTAAGTGCGGGTGGTTAATACGAGACATGAATCGAGTTTTCATTTTATCTAGTTTTATTATCAAGTGAGGGGTGTCATTCAAAACCAATAACAATTTATGGCCCTCATGAGTTAGTTTAAAAACCTTTTGGTTAGAATAAATTGAGGCGTGTCGTGCCAAATAAAATCTCAAATGCATGACCCTCATTTATTTATTTCTTTTAAATCCTTAGAACTCGAGGCGCGCCATTTAGCAAATTTCCCATGGCTCTCGCAAAGTTAAAAACGCGTAGTTGCTTTAGGCTCGTTATTTTAATAATATTACCTTCCTAAACTCGGGTGTGCATTTCATGTGACCCAAATCCAAATCCTAACAATATTGAATAAAATGTGTTTCGGATTGCGGGTGCATTTCATGTGGCGCGGTCTAAAGACATGTTCTAGATGGCATTGAAATCTTCCTTAAAGTAATTAAAAGCGGTTTAAAGTAAATGCACATAGGTTCAAAAGTGTTTTAAAATCGAATAATATGCCAATTGTAACAGTTGAGCGACCGTGCTAGAACCACAGAACTCGGGAATGCCTAACACCTTCTCCCAGGTTAACAGAATTCCTTACCCGGATTTCTGTGTTCGCGGACTGTAATACAGAGTTAATCTTTCCTCGATTCAGGATTTAAACTGGTGGCTTAGGACACCATAAAGTATCCCAAGTGGCGACTCTGAATTTCTTTTTTATAAAATGGTCCCATTTCAATTGTCACTTTAAGTTGGAAACAACTCCCTTTATATACTCCCTTCCGGGGGTGTAGGTAAAGAGGAGGTGTGACATACCTTACTTAAAATTGTTATCTTGTTTTTCCTTAACAAATTATATATTTAATTCGTTAATTTAACTTATGTTTTGCTTTGTTTAAAAATGATACTTTTACTCAATTTTATTGATTTCTAAACTAAACCCATCTTTTACTTTGTTTCATGCAAATTATATATTATTTTACTTTACTTGATTTTTAAAATAAACTCATTATTTCGTTTGACACCTTACTTTATTCAAGATTGTTATTATGTTTTATGGTGTTTACCTATAGCTTTTGTTCATCTAAATTAATATTTATCATGGTTGCAAAGTACATGGTAGCATGTGGGCTTTGTCGTGCGAAGGTGATTGTTATTATGGGTGCGAGGTGCCATATGTATAAGATTTGGAAATTGTGGTTCATGACTTGTGATTTATAAGTTGTGGTGCCTCGAGGTAATTCTTGATGTAAGTGCATGCATTGGAAACGATTTGATTATTTGAGTTGTCATTCGTTTTTCCTTATTTGGGTTCATTTATATCTCATCGATGTTCTGATTATGTTGTTTCTTTATTACTCGTTTGCTACTTGCTACCATTTAGGTTTCTATTACTTCATTGTTAGTTGTAAATAAATAATTTTTTCGTCGTTGGTCTTACATTGATGTTCTTTCCATTGTTAGCTATGTATATCTTGAATAGATTTCTATGTCTAGTAGGTGTCCTGGACTCGTCACTACTCTACCGAGGTTAGGCTTGATACTTACCGGGTACCATTGTGGTGTACTCATGCTACGCTTGTGCACATTTTTTTGCAGATCCAGGTATTTTGATTGTGTTGTTGAGAGTTGCATCTGCGCGATGGGAGACTTCAAGGTATACCTGCTTGACGTTCGCAGACCTCGGAATCATCATCTTATTTTATTATACTACTGTTAAATTGTAATTTAAAACAGTATTGTATTTAAAAATTCTAGTGTGTTTTAGTAGTGCTTTTGACTCTGTACTACTGGTTTTGGGAAATGTATAATTATTGGCTGCTTGCGACTATGTATGTCATTTAATGGTTTATGATAAATGATTAAATAGTTCAATTCTGTTATTAAATCAGCATGTGTTAAATTTACCTAGTCTTAGAGAATATGTGTTATCGCGATATCCTAAGGTGGGAAAGTGGGTCTTGACATATTTAGACAAATTTAACTTTCTTCTATTTAGAATAGAAAACTATTGATATGTCTTTATATTTCTAGTACATAGGATCCAAAATTATATATCATTATAATAAAATGGTATATTAGTATAATAAAATGGCATATTAGTATTCAATGTTATTGTAAAATACTTGTCACAATAGTATACTAAAACTGCATAAAAATATACCACATAGGTATATTACTATTTTTTGTTTTACAACGCCTACTTCTTATATACTGAATATTATTTTCATGGAACTCCATCAAAAAATTCATTTAAGAAAATATTTGCAAGGGACTAGTTGAAAAAATTCAAAAATATTACTATATTGTATGTTATAACAATATAATGTTACTATAATCATGACTTTAGCCTTGCACAATAGCACCTAGATGATTCAACAAATAGGATTCGAAGTATACTATGATGGTATATTGTATACTATTATAGCATATTGTTGCAGTATATGCATATTATTAGAGTATACCATTACAATTATTGTATACTATAATAGTATATTATTGTATTATAGCTACATATTCCTACAATATATTTTATACTGTAACGGTATACTGTGAGGTAACTATGTTCTTCTTCAATTATTACAGTATATTGTTGCAGTATATTGTATACTATAACAGTATATTATTGCAGTATAGCAATATACTTGTAACGACCCAGCTGGTCGTTTCAGGAGTTACAGTCTCATTCTCCCCATTTCTGCTTATTTATCTGTCGTTCAGCTGTATCTCATCATATCGTGTTGGTGTGTCTGTGTTCGGGATGGTCATGGAGCGACATGAGACACTTAGTCTCTTATTTTGAAGTTTAAGTTGGAAACGTCAACCGGATATTGACTTATGCGTAGAAGTTCTCGGCTGTGAATTCTGATGGTTTGGAAAGCTTTGTTAGGCGATTTTGGACCTAGGAGCGTGTTCAGAATGTAATTTGGAGGTCCGTGGTAGATTTAGGTTTGAATTGGCGAAATTAAAAATTTGATATTTTTCTGGTCGGTAGTGAAAATCTTGATATCAGGGTCGGAATAAAATTCCAAAAATTGGAGTAGGTTTGTTATGTCATTTGTGACGTGTGTGCAAAATTTCAGATCATTCGGATGAGGTTTGATAGGTTTTTGGATCGGTTGCGGAATTCAAAAGTTTCAAAATCCTTAGGCATGAATCTGAGGGTGATTTGGTGTTTCGATGTTGTTTTGAGTGTTCCGAAGGTTGAAATAAGTTTTAATAATGGTATATGACTTGTTCATATTTTTGGTTGAGGTCCCGGAGGCCTCGGGATGAATTTAGAAGGTTGTCGGAAAGATTGGACTTGAATTGGAGCAGTTGAAGTTGCTGCTTCTGTCATAACCGCACCTGCAGATTGAGGACCGCATGCGTGAGCTGCAGAAGCGACATGGATTGCAGGAGCGGAGGTCTAGGCCGCATCTGCGAACCCGCAGGTGCGAGACCTGGGTCGCAGGTGCGGCGTCTGAGGAATTAATGAAAAACCGCAGATGCGGTCATGTTGACCACAGATGCGGTCCACAGAAGCGTAATATGGATCGCAGGTGCGGAAACCCCTAGGCAGAAACTATATAAGCATCACTTCGCGAATTTTAACCATTATACCACCATTTTTGGCTGATTTTGGAGCTCTAAGCTGTGAAGTGAATCAAGCGTATTCAGAGAGGTAAGCTACTTGGGCTTGAATCTTGTGTTTATGGTGATTATTCAATTGTTTAGTCATGAAATTTGTGGGAAAATTAGAGAAGAAATTGAGAAATTAGGGCTTGAAATTGTAGAGTTAAAATTGGAGAGTTGAGGGGTCATTTGAGGTCGGATTTTGATGATTTTGGTATGTATAGACTCATGAGAGAATAAGGATTCTAGTGTTGTAATTTTTTATCGGATTTCGAGATGTGGGCCTGGGGGTCGAGTTTGACCAATTTCGGGATTTTGAGTTTAGTTTGATAATTTTCGCGTGGGATTCGTCCCTTTGGTATGTATTGATGATATGATTCTAATTTTGGATAGATTCGGGACGATTTGAGGCCGAGTCGAGAGGCAAAGGCATTGCGGAGTAGACTTCCGTCCGGGTCGAGGTAAGTAATGATTCTAAATCTTGACCTAAGGGCATGAAACCCCGGAATTTAGTACTATTTTGATAAATGAGGTGACGCACATGCCAGGTGATGAGTATGTGTATCACGACCCCGGTTCACCCTCTGTGAACCATCGTGACGGCACCTAGTCCTTGCGACTATGTAAGCCTAAATTGCGGAAAATAAACCAATTTACGGAAGTAAAACAATTTAAAATAGAATTAGAATAATAAGATAGTATTTAAAAGTTCCGCTCGGCATACACAATACTTAAATCTTAGGAACCAATACATAACTCCAAGACCCGGAAACCCATGAATCACAAGCT